TTATGAATCTTGATATTCTTTTTAATGATAAAAACTAACGTGCATGTCCCATAACTCCAGAGGGGATGACCCGCAACTATACAAAATGGATAAAAATCCGCCCTGATAAGTATTTCGAAACATTTATTTCTAAATATTTGCTTAGCTGTTTACAGTTTGACAAATATCAAATTAGATTCTTTCCTTTGTTTTTCGAGTTTCCACATTAATTGCCAACGTCCTGTCTCTTTGAGACAAAATTATATAATTAAAAACACATTTAAAGTAATGAAAAGTTTTGGAGTTGTTGAATTGTGAGTTTGAATATAGTCTAAAAATGCCAAATTTAAAAAGAGTAATACATAATCAATAAAGAAGAACTAATGTTGCAGGCCTAATCAGAGTTTGAAAATTAATTTGAAAATTAATACTTTGTTCATTATTGACGAACTTCAAATAAAAAGAAAAACTAGATATTTGATGTTACCCAATTAAAAAAAGACCTCGCACAAACCTTATAAAAATTGAATTTCGGTCAAATTAATATATTGCTATGGGACTTCCATGGCTAAAAATTTAATACATTGTAAATCTTGTCGTCCTAATAAAGTCTCCACAGACATCCCAAACAACACAAAGTCTAAAGTTATGACATAAGACGTCTATAAATCATCTTTTACGACGCAAAGGAAACGTCTTATAACCTGATTTTAGAAACTTTTTGTCTAAGATGACTCACTACAATGAACCATTTGATCTCTACAAGGCATTTCATTTTTCAAAACGAATTAAGGTATAAGGATATAATATTGACTTGATTGTTTCTCACAAATCGGAGATCTTATTAGCAATCTATAAGGCGAGTCCCCTTGCTTTTTACAAATTGGGGTGCATTATATATAATATTATTGTGAATTTCTTTATAACTTTTTTTTATTACTTATACAGTATAGGGGACTATCCTGCAATTATCTTGATATATTGTTGACAAGATAGAAAACGTCAACGATTAAAGTTAGATGTTTTGAATAATATAATATATATTCTTTATTAAATCAATTTATTTCAGCTATGATTACGCGCCGATAATTTTCCAGACAATCAGTCTGAAATGCTAATCCCCCTAAAATTAAAAAAACTTTTTCTTTTTACTTTAAAATATACACAAAAAGTGCAAATCATGACATAGAAATGCACCGTATTCGCTGAAAATAAGATATTGAGTATTAGCCCGTTTTTAAAAATTATGTCTCGTAGAAGTCAAATGGTTCATTATAGAAGGTCGTACCTATGGAGACTGAAATTAAATTTCCATCAGGTTTGTGTGGAGTCCTTTATATAAATCGAATTTTATGATAAACCTTTTTTAATTTTGTTTTTGAATCTATTATTTTGAATTTTTTATTTTTGACTTTAAATTTGAATAAAGCATCATCGAATTATCCCATAGGCCAAGTTTTATAAAAATCAAGCGAGCAGTTTACAAAATAAAAGGAGGTGATTCCAAATGGAGTCATCGCAGTATGCAAAGAGTAAATATATGTTCTGTTATAATTATAATATAAAACATTTCTAATATATTAAAAACGCAAAATATTCAATTATATATATGTATATATATATATA